GGGGGTTAGAAAATAAATAAAGGAATGTCAAATGAATGAAGAATACTTGTGAAAAACAAAAGGGGGAAAAAAAAGGAGAGAAAAAAAGGTTTTACACAAATATAAAAAAGAAAAAAATCCGTGTCGTGCCAATGACACAACGTGCCAAAGTCGAAGTCCATTTTGGGGACGTTGACTGTTTCAGTTTATCCGCTCGACCGCAGGTCCGGTGGCGGGAGAGGAAAAGGTGTGACTATCAATCCGCAATGTCGGTTGAATTAGATAAATACGATGAAGATAATGATAATGACAATGATGATGATAATAATATTCATCAACTTCAACGTAATCGTCAACGACAACAACAACAACAACAACAACAACAACAACAAAAACAAAGCTTTATGCAACTAGTTGCAAGTAATGAAACGACTACTACTGCCAATAACAACAGTCACGATCCTAATAATATTTTATTAAAAGCAAATGAAACAATTACAACAACAACTACTACAACTAGTACAACAATCATCAACGAGCCCAATCAAACTCAATGTTGATGGCAAATAAATCATTTGTTTTTCTTAATTTATTAATAAAATAAAAGAAAAAGGAAAACAAATTATATTTAATTTACATTAAATGGTAAGGTTTCTTTGTTTTTTTTTTGTGGGGGGGGGGGTTTCAAATTTACTTTTGTCATTACAAATTGCGAAATTATATAATATACATATATAATATATAAATAATATAAATAATATAAAAAATAATTAATATATATTATTATAATATAATTTTAATATAATATATATTAGAATTTAAAATATATATTATATATAAATATATATATATATATATATATTTTTTTTTGGTATTTAAATTTAATTATTTTATTAATACTAAAAATAATGTATTTAATTATAATATAATTTTAATACAATATATTAAAATTTAAAATATATTTTATTTCTGTTTGTTTGTTTTTTTTTCTTTTATTTTAGTATTTAAATTAGATCGGCTTTTTAACTTAATTTTCGATATTTAGAAAAAAAAAAAGAAAAAAACCAAATCAAACCAAACCTTCAACGAAATGTTAATTTTATAATAATACGTTTAAGATCGTGTATAACTATTGTTTAATAATATAAAAATTTAATCCTTTCGTCGTTACGTATTTTTAATAAGATTGCGTATAATACGCAACGTTGCAACGTGAATCATTCATAATACAAGGGAGAACACATTTGCATTGGATGACCCATATGTGAATTCTGAGTAGTAAATGAAAGGGTTAAATTTTCATGAATTTTAATCGAAATTCTAACGAGGATACAAAATTCGTTTCATAAACATTTTTTTCTTAAATCTTTGCATAAATATATATATAGACATATATAATTTATTTTGCATTAGAAATAATTTGAGAAAAGTTGTTTTAAATAAAATATATAATTATGTTATAAAATATATTGAAATAATTATTTCGTGTTAAAGATAAATATGAAATTTATTATAAGATAATCTAACAATTGTTGTTAAATATTTTTTTAACATATTATTTTGAAATAATAATAAGGAAAGAAAATTATTTTACACGTAAAACAAACATTACATTGCACTTTCTGCATTTCTATCACTTCGAAGTAGTGTATACATATATATATATCAATTTGTTAATCAATTTTTATTACATATAATCAACAAAGTCTTTTGTTAGAAAGATATTAATTAAATATGTCATTTTAAATGATAGACAAAAATGAATATTAAATATTCGCATTTGTATGTTAATTAAAATATAACGTGTATTAACATAAAAACCAATGTATATTATTTAAAAGATAAATTAATAATTCCGTTTTACGTCATATTGAATATTCTTTCAATCGAATTAGAATAATAATAAATCGTGTGAAATTAATCATTTCATTTTTTACATTGAAAAATGAACGGCCTCGTGAAACTTTGAAAACCTTTCACTCAACTCCAACCCTACCCCTGTATTATCATCTGTTTTATGATTATGAAAATAATAATGTGGAAAAATGTTGTAGCGATTATTATTGTGTACCTGATTAAAAAAATTTTAATTACACTGACGTCAATATTCATTAACATAATTCATAATTTTCTGTAAACTTAACATCGAATAGAAATCGCAAGGTCGAGTCATAAATACCTTTCGTTTTTTATGATACAAAAAATGACGTGTCTGTAATTGATAAGTGCAAAACACCTTTCATCAAGTTTATTTTTTTTGCACTCTTTGCAATTGTTCAACGTATCTATTGGATTTTGTTCCAATATTACCTTTAAAAGGTTCATCAAAGTCGGAAATACGTCCTACACTTGGTTCATCTTTTAAGATCGTATCTCCAGTACGGAATTTTACAAACCAATTTCTGACTGCCCTATCAATTATCAGTCCTGCACTGTATACGCTGCATATTTTTTCAGTTGCCACTTTAGTGCTATTGCCTTGTTTCAATCCTTAAAGCATTACATGTCGAATATGCACTTTTTACTATCCATTTCAGTGGTTAAGAAAAATGGTTAAATGTAACATTGACTGCATCAAAAAGTTGACAGAAGACTAAACTGAATCCCTCATCTATACAGTGATATTAAAAATCCGTTTGTTTCGGTGACTTATAATAGGTAAATACGAAAAATAGATTCTTCATAGCTCCATCGGAAGTTACTTATGACTCGATCTATTATTAGTTATTGAAATCACATTTGTTCTATAAAATTAATCGTTAACATTATCAACCACCCACATCTTCTAATTCTACATTTCTTGTCTCAACTATTAATTGATGCATAATATTTTAAGAATAGCATATTCTTCGATCAGTCATCATACTTGATGATAAATAACACACACACGTACTTAAATAAAATATTGTTTTCCTTATTTTATTTTATTTATTCTATCGATGCATTTAAAAATAAAACGAGGATCGGTTTTGTCATATTATAATATGACAAAACCAATATATATATTTATATATATATACACATAAATATGTATAGTTTTATGTGTAATTAAATTTTTCATAAGCAATATTATAATTCGAATTAAAAAAAAAAAAGATATATATATATATATATATATATATATATAATCCTCGTAGTTATAAATACGTTTATATATGCACGTATGTATACTAAAAAATAATCTTATCTGATATATTAAAGAAACTTCTGTATTAATTATAGAATAATTAATTCTAACAACGTTTATAAATCTTAATAAAAACTTGTAATATATATATATTTCAAAACAGAAAGAGAGAGAGAGAGAGAGAAAGAAAAATATATTAGAATAATAAATAATAAATAAATAATAATTCATTAGATTAATTTTATAATTTATATCAATGCTTTTTTTTAAGTACAGTTTAATATAAATTTGCTCGCACGTGCGTAACTATTGAGATGAATGATACGATTACTATTTATGGTGTCCTATTATAAATCGTTCATACGAGGCCTTATCGCATGAACGATTCGCATTTGAATCGTTACAAAACGAAACAATTATAACAACGTATAAATCTTATTCTATGTAAATAAATACACATCTACATATTATATATATATAATATTCTTGAAACATATAATATTAAAAAAAAACTTGTATAGTCATTTTCTTATCTGTCTTTTATCATTTATGCGAACAATTGTAAAAATTATATTTATTTTTTTGCCTCGAGTATACTTATAACTAAATAAACAAACAAAAAATTCAACAAACAGATAAACACATTTTTTTTCTATTTATCACGATAAATTATACTGATAACATTGATTCTGAATATTGTAATGCGAATATTATTAACGATAAAGTTTTATTTAAAAAAAAAAAAAAAATAATAAATAAAAAAACAACAACAACGATGTCGCATATATATTTTTTTTATATTTACACTCACACACAATACAAAATTTTTAACAACATGTGATTCTTTTTGTTTTTTTTTGTTTTTTTAATTTTTTTCAACAATGTAGTATACTTAAAATTATCATAATTTCGTTGATTTGTTGTTTTTTTTTTTTTTTACTCTTTTTATGTTACATATAATTTATCTATCTTACAATCTTTTATAAGATCAAATTTGTTATATAAAAGTTATATACATATATATATTATAATGATAATGATAATAATAATAATCATAATAATAAAATACAAATCGACGTATTAACACGTGAATTGCACACGTGTTTTACACATTTCACATGTTTTGGAATGTACGGAAGAGACACGTTTATCAAAAAAGTTTTACAAATTATTTCATATTACTATTGAAAATATATTATTATTATTAAGAGTTTAGTATTATATTTGTAATATAATACTAATCACGCATGAACTATTATTGTAACATTAGAAGAAACGCGTTTTTTACGTGGCACGGATCTATAATTAAAACAACGTATTGTGTAATCATTGTATAATAAAGTTGAATCAATGAATTCTAATATTTCTTTATTCTCTTTCTTTTTAATAAAAAATAATATATATACGAAATGGATTCAAAATACATATATATATATATATATATAGATGAAATGGATTAAAGAATAAAAAGTATATCAAAATAATAAAAATGAAGTGATTATGAAAAAAAAAAAATAAAAATAAAATACAACTCGTTGACGTGGACTTACCATTTCAGGGCCAAATTAAATTAGCTACTTTAGGTAATGTGAGTGCAACTATAATAGTTGACACAAGATTAACAGCATGATTATCCAAAATTTGTTTACCACTGATATGTTTAACTCCTTTCCCTGGTTTTGTAACAATAAAACCATCTTCGTCTATTCCTAAAGAAATATTTCCAATATATTAGCTTGTAATTAATGTTGAAGAATATTGAGATTGTAATAATAAGTAATTGTTTTATGCATAATACCTGAATATTGTAATGTTGCTCCTAATATTGAATCTATTACACTACCGATCAGTCCTGCTATTCCACATATTACAATAATAGGCCATTGTGGTGCTGCTGATTCAAGTGTTGCTGTATCAACTGTGTACAATATAGTGAGATAACTTGTCAAGCCTACCATTAATCCACCAAGAGTAGAGAACAACAGACCATACCACGATACTCCGCCATTTGTTCCTTAAAATATAATAATTCGCATATTTATAATTGTTACACTCTTAGAAAAATATTATTTGAAAAATATCTCACATTTACTTACCACGAGGAACTCGTTTTCTCGTTGTAATTAAAAATGGATCACCTTTACCAATGACTGTACCAAATTCCGAAGCCCACGTATCTCCATTGCAACAAGCAAAAGATGCTGCAATATACATACACACACACAAAGTAAATGAATTGAAATGAAACATTGATATACTTAATAATAAATTAATCAAACAAATGAAATGATTAATTTACCTAATATTCCTATAGATAACCACGAACTTCTGTAATATTTATCAAAATCTATTGGACGTTCTCCGCAACCAACATCCAAAAGATACAACAAAGCTAAATGTGTAGCAACTCCTCCGTTGCAAATTACTTGAACCCATGATCTCTGTCCACCTTCCTTGAAATCTTTTTCTTGAGTCTTTTTTATATTGGAACGAAATTTAGTTGCCTTTGATCCAGTAACAAAAAAGGTCGCTAAAGATACCAAATGACAGATGTTGGTCAGCGTCAATATAAAACCTATCACAACTCCTGTAACGATAAGATAGATTATTAAATATAGTATATATTAAACTTTAGCAATAAATAATTAATGCGTAATGTATATATAAAACTTATTACCTGCTAATGCTCCTTTTAAATTGACACTCTTTCTTCTTAATCCCCAAATCATGAATCCTATTGGAATTATAATGGCAGCCAACCATCTCCATGGTGGTATCATTTGTGACAACTCTATAAAAATATATTTCTTATACGATTAAAATGTTATATATTATATGAAATATTTTTCGTATTTTAAATGAAAAAAGTCTATCCAAATATAAAATATTTTTCTTTTATACGACCAAAGAAATGTTCCTCGTATAAAATATAATTCAATGAACGTTGATCAAATAAAAAAAATAAATAAATAATAATAATTTTTATATGACCCAAGAAAAATGTTTATCATATAAAATAGTATTATTATTATATATATTGAATATATATACTCTGAGTATATTGAATATATATATATACTGAATTGATATTATATATATAATTACAACTAAAACGTTTAACATTACCTTCATTATTATTGTAGTTGTTAGTAGTATCTGATGATAGAGTTGAATAAAGAACATTTATCGACCAAAAGAACATTGATATTGGAATAGCACACACGCTTATTAAAATTGGTAAGAAGAAATTGAAATTTTGAATGTTGTTGCTTCTACGCAGGACCATTCCAAACTGCTTTTGAAAGAAGCAAAGGTAGGTATTTATATATTCCATAAAGCGGTCTTATGAAATAATCCTTGATTAACCCCACCTCCTGGAAAATTGTGTCAGATTTATTATATCCTTCATGTAAGAATATTAATGAACGAGAATTTTTCATAAAAATTTGTAAGAAAAACATGAAGTAAATGTAAGAAAAACATGAAGTAAATGTAATATACGCGTGTTTTTATCGTAATAGTACAAAATACGACAGATAATTTAAATTATGGTTTTATTTTAACGATGAAATAATTGATAAGAAAACATATTACAGAGAAATATTAACAGGAAATACAAGTAAAAAGTATATATTATAATAATATTCAGGAATATATATAAGTTAATTATAAAATAAGAAAACATTTAATTTAATAATAATTCATAACAAGTCGATAAGATTAATTTCGATGATAATAATTCTAATTGCATTAACGAAAATATAAATGATTATATATATATAATATATTTAATAAAATTATAATATAAATTTTATTATAAACACTTATATTATATATAAAGAAAAAAACACTAATATATATTAAATATATTAATATAACACTAATTTATATTATAATATATAAAAATTATATAAAATTAATATATATATATATATATATAAAATATATAATTTATATTATAATATATAAAAATATATTAAATTAACACTAATATGTATATTAAATTAACTATAATATATTTTTATATATTACAGATTATAATATATAGCATAGTATATATATATATTATATTATAAATAACACTATTAAGCATTAATTATATGTTTTAATGTTTTATTTACCTTTTACCACGTTCACAGTTGACACCTTTCCACTTTCAATTTGAATGTTCTAGATTGTTAGGATTAAAGAAAATATCAGTGTTTCTAGTATTTTCGATATTTCTAATATTAGTGCAAATCAAATTCATTATGACTCGTAACAATATTAAAAAAACAAAATCAATACAGTCATTTGTTTACATTATAAGAATTAATGCGCAATCACCTTTTACATTTATTTTTTAATAAATATAATAATAACATACATGTTATAATTATAAACTATAGATTTAACTTTTTATTATTTAAAAATAATAACGATTCGTTTGAAAAGTATGTTATGTTAAATATTTATTAACCTATTTTTTTGTCCCCTTTTTGGACACGTTAACCAAGACACCATCCTAACCTAAATAACAAACAACATAAATACTTACTAGCGACTTAAGCGACATGGTGCAGAAGATAATGTAATTAAATATTAATTTCAAACAAATTTCATTTGTTGTTTCAATTGTTTACAAATATTAACTATTAATAATGTGTTGATTTATTTTATCTGCGTTTTGTGTGTGCTATGTGTGTGTGGTGTGTGTGTGTGTGTACACATGTATACAGGATTTTTCATT